TCGAAATGTAACATCTGTATAATGGTTAATCTGCAAGTGTAATCACGCCAGACCAAACGAATTCCTTTTGCTCTGAATAATTTTATTTCAATACCCTCCCTGGAGTCTTATTCGCCGCTGCGTCTTCATTTCTACATCTGAGTTACCAGTTATCTAACTTTATTGTTTTCTTAAGGTTACCCTTCATTTTAAAGAAGACCACAGTATGAATACCCCATGGGCATGTTCTTTGGTGAAGCATGAGATATATTTGTTCATCATTCGTGAGAATGACATGTCGGAGTCTTGGTCGGGATTACATATCGGATATTTCATTTAACCTCCTCAACACTCTATCCATCCTGTTACACATTTTTCGGGAAGTTTCTGAAGGACGTCTAAAGGATGTTTGACACTATCTACAGGAATTGTGGATATTGCCTCTGAGGATTCTTTGAATGTTGCCTGCAAATGAACCAAGTGACCGCTGTGCTTGCATCGCGTTTTCTAGCTGACCTGGGATTAGTTTCCAGGCTGCTCGTTCTGCTAGCTACTGTTATATTTATAAGTGGACTGGTTACGTCCAAATCAGTCAGGGACTAGGTCATGTCTGTGGCAAAGATTTTTCCCATCATCAAGCTGCAATACATAGCAGCAGTTGTTTTATTGTTCTTATGTTTGACTTCTTTGAAATGATTTTCTACTTAATGAAGCACCTTTGGATACATGTGGAATTCGGTCTTCGTCACTTTCGTTTTCATTGTTGGAGCAATTGTATTTCCTCCTGAATATTACTGTCACTCACACACGTTTATACTCTGTACAGTTGTTTTACGCCCACAAGTGTCAGGTGGTGTTCAGGCCGTTATTCATAGAGTGAATCTTTAACTGCTAGCTACTCTTGCAGTTCACTACCTATTTTCTCCTCCCAGACTGTCAGACAACTCGAGGTCACGAAATTTATGACGTCATTAAATTCTGCTAATGTAGTGATCTTAGCCTTGTAGAAACTCGATGTTCGTTGAAGAAACGATCATTAGTACAATTTTTCTAATCTGCTGTTAGATTCATTAATAAGAGCCAGGAAAAGAAAACCCTCCTATGACAGGTGGCATTGCACTAAATTCCACGGAATTTAGGGTTAAGATAAAGGTAGGGGTTTGCCCAACTAGTATTAGCCTCACAACGCTTTTAACTGTTTTGACATTCTTCATGTGAGTTTTATCCCCATTTCACTTGACTACTAACTTCTTATTAATAACAATCATATCCAATTAATATTTTTACAATCTGCGCTCTAACTGGTCGATTCCTATAGTTCTGTCTTCTGTTTGTTTTGGCACCCTCACTGTTAAGAGACCCCTGCAGGTTTGCGTCACTTGTAAGAGTACTGGTTTTGACCACCTCGAGTCGAGTAGTACAACGACTGGCATAAAAACTAGTAGACGCTCTTAAGACTGAGAAGACGTTTTGCCTACTATGGACAAAAACAGTGATAAAACAATGAGTTAACATGGCAAAACTGACTTGTAGGGCCCCTATAGATATCTATCTCCCCGCCCAACTGCTTAACGTATTTTGTGGTCAAACATTTAATTCTTGGCTAGTGAGCTTAACTTGATATGTAAATGTGGCGGAAGTGATCAAAAAATATTACGGAAGTCAAGTTAAGCGAACGAACGTTTTCGATTAATTCATCATCAAAGTTCGTTCACTTAACTTGACTTCCTTAATGCTTACATGGGTATCATCGCTGAAATTAAAAAATATTAAATTAAATAAGATTATATTTGCTTTAACATGATAAAATAGAATAAAATTCAATCAACATAAACCTCTGTTGCACGGGTTAAGAATGCCAATTAAGGGAAATTCGACCGTATGTAGGCAGAATTTATCGGAAATGGAAATTCATCCTCCTACTGGTGGAATTTAACGAAAGAATTCAAATTCGGGCTACTGAAAATTCAAAAGTAGTTTTTTTTATTATAAGTTAACGGGATTTTTGGGGCCTCTAAAATCAGTCCTGTGGTTAATTTTAATCGGACGAGGGCCAGTTTAAGATATCTTCATTGGATTTCAATGTTTACGGACCATGTGAACGAAGATTGAGAATTATTCAGGAATATTCTTCCGCAACCCATCAACATCCACTACGCACTGACATGTGTCCACCACAAGAACTGACTTGGGTAGCTACCCAGTAACCTAAAGGAAGGAAAATAACACAAAGCATATATTTTGGAGAAAAAACTGCGAAACTAAGCAAGTCTAATATTTCAAAAATCGTCAAGTTAGACACAAAGAAAGGAATAAAATGATTCTCAAAATATTTTGGGAATTTGGGAGGAATTTTCTGCAAAAAGCAACAGAGAATTCCGGATGGTCTTACGAATATTTTCACAAAAGTTCAAGGAATAGACCTCAAATTCCGGTGAGTAAGACTAACGTGAGTGTCAATATTGTTAAAAACGATGATAAGGCCGACTTCCTTTCTCTGGTCTTTCAATCAGTCAAAAGAAACAATATAAGGTTCCTCCGTCCTTCCTCGGGGAACTTCCGACCCCAAGCCTTAGCGATATCCTGTTTTTAGAAGTTTGTATCTGAAGGGAGGCATAAGAAATAAAGTAGTTTGCATATCCAGGACCGAACCAGCTTCCATCCAAGCTTCTGAAAGAACACTTCAATGAACTCTCACAAAAGGAGTGCCATCAACAGAATACTACGCCATGCGAAGACACAATACTCGGACAAGGAAACCTACCGAGTCAAACTCAATTACCTGTTAAGTTTGTTTTCCCCCAATAGTTACCTCAGAGACTTTACGCCGATGCGTGAAACAACAACAACCGAACAAAAAGGAACCAGATAGTTCCACACAGGCGCCAAAAAACAAATACATGGCGAATCCTTCCTTATATAAGGAATGTGTCTGAACTCGTTGAAAGGCACTTCGGAAACACCAAATAAAATTGGCGCACAAACCGATGGCTACTTTAAGCACCCAGCTTGTACAACCTAAGGATAGGATTGGCTACCTCAATGAGAAAGAAGTCATCTACAAAATTTCATGCAAAGCTTTTATACCGTCTATTATGGCCAAACAGGAAGATCCGTCTCCACACACATCCACAAGCACTAATTGGCCGTGAAGAGACGTGACCATTTGTCCAAAGTGACTATGCATTGCCTTGGCACAAGACACAGCTTTGCATGGGAAAAATCGCGCAAATCGTCGGGGTTTACCCCTCCAGAAATGTCCGAGAATCCCTTGAGGCCAGGCCCTCCGACGATTCATGCATCAACCGCCACATAGAATTAGATGGTATCTATAAACAACTCAAAGAACGGTGGAAGAGACGAAGGGCGCACAACACAGACTTACTGAGGCCACAACTATCAATCAGGTCTCAGACCATATAACTATTCATTTTTCCCGTACTTTTGAAATTTTAGTTGCTCATTGCACATTTCTCGTTCGTCTGAATACGAGCTGGGGACCCAGACTCGAAAATTTACTGATTAAAGTTACTTTTATATCCCAAGGAACATATTTTTCTTCGAAGCGGTTAGTTTAGCTAGCTTCCAGTTGGTAGGCAGAACCCCTTCTCCATCGACCTTTTGAAGATCTTGGAAAGTAGGAGGCCAGTTGTTCTGCGAGCTCATTCAGAAGTTTCGCTGCTATGCCATCCGGACCAGGCGATTTAGTGGGCTGTAGTTGTCTCGGTGTTTTCTTACTGCATCTGTTGCTTACGATGCCGTGCTAATTTTATTTGTCGCTGTGACAACATATTGCTGTATACCCTCGTTAAAAGGCGGCTCCTCAGTATACACAGACATAAAGAAGTTAGACAAGCAGTTCGTCTTATCTGAGTTATCGGAAAGCTTGTTCCCCCGGTTATCTTTCAGACGAGGAATGGGATCTCGATGGCGTTTTGCCTTATTCACGTAGAGGTCCAGCAGTGGATGCTTCCTTGCTAGAGGAGCTTGAAAAGCTTACAAAACGGCCTGATATACTGGTCGAGTGTGACTTTAAGGTGCCTCTCATCGACCGGAGCTCGGTCTACGCACATTGCTCTGATTAGGCCTTTGACGGTTGTCTTCTTAACATGACGCTGAAGTGGTTCGCACACAGTATGTTACTTTTTGAA